GTGTAACGTTGCCGGGCGTCCCTATCCCTAATCCCAGCGCACAGGACACAAAAGCAGGAGAATCAATTTGGGCTGTATAGTTTAAGGCTGGACACTGTTACAGAGACCCCGGGTAAAAAAAAAATCAGTTCCCCCTCCCAAATCAAGGTAGTAGGACGGGTGGAGTGCAGTGGTAGAGCAATGCCCAGCACATCTGTGGCCCTGGGTTCTTTGAGCTGCTTTCTGCCTCTCCCCCTTTTGACAAAGCATTAATTGATCCTAGAAATCGTGACTTCTCAGTTTTTATTGCTGAATTTTTAAAGCCTGTGTGTTAATATATTTTACTTTAAAGAGTGTTTTGTAAGTATTTCTGAAAATATTTAACCCCGGAACTCATGAAAACATGGCACACTATGGAATCTCTTAGTGCCTCTGGTTTCACTCAGTCATTACAGAAATTTATCCAAAATTAGGCATAAGAGCTTATTTTACTATGCACTTAAAGTTGGAGTTCACTGTCAGCCGAAGCAGCAGGCATCTTGGTTACAAAGTAGATCAGCTTCTTTTATTTGTATTCATAATTTTGGTTATAGTCTTGAGGGGTAGGATAACAACCGTAATTGGTCTTTGAAATATTTTTTAAAAATAGACTTATTGCATATTAATTATACTTGTGACAGTTTTCATAATATTCAGCTAATTGAATTATTCCTACTGTTCAGCTATTAGAATACCTAAATTCTAAAGGTAGTAAGACATGAATTTAATGTTTCTTCTGTTTATTTTCTATAGATGTGAATTGGTACAGAGTAGGTTTGTAGGAAAACTAGTTTGGTTTTATATTTTAGAGACTGGGCTTTATAGCAAAATCTATGAGAAATATCAAGACGTTTTTAAAGGAGGCCACAGTTGAGCAATGACACTTGGAAAAGCCATTGGAAAAGCAGATCTATAGCGCATGTTTTTAGAAACTGGCTTCCGTTCTCAGGTCAATTTTAAGTGAGAGACAAAAGGGAGACCTCACTGGGTTGGTTAAAGTGAACGTTTATATTCGCAACTTTTTAATTGAGCTGTCGGGGTTGGTATATGTGTGCACACAATTCTAAGTCCTTCTCACACTTGGGAAACAAGCTCGCCCAAGTAGCATACTAGGGTACTGGCTAGGTGGGTGTGGTAATTTGGGGGTCGCCGGTTGGATTGCAGTCAGTGTTAATTTCCAGGGGTCGCTTCCTTTTTAGAGCTAGCGCCTGAGTTCGTAGCTCAGCTCCGGAGGATTGGAGACAAACTGTCTTCTGAGTGGTGTGAACCCTACATCACTGCGCCGCTGTCGGAGATGCCAAACAAGAAAACTCGAAAGAGCGAGACGAGGAGCCCGAGCCCAATGCGGGTCCCAAAAGGTACTGGGCCTAGGCGCTGCGGGGCTGCGGGGCTGCGGAGGCCAGGCTTAGTCCGTTGGAGCTCGCGCCTTCCTGGCGCGCGCCCTAGGAACACCATCAGAAAGTTCTCGAAGCAGTAAGCTTGCATGTTAGCTGGACTTCTTTTAGAGCACGTTGCCCATCTCCACAGCTTGGGCGGGGGCGTGCAGGAGGCCACCCTAGACAGTCACTGGCAAGCCCCTGAATGCTGCCGAAGGAGGGCATCGTCCCTGGGAGTCCAGCTCACAGGATTTGTCACCGTGAATGCCCTTACTCCCAGAACTAACAAAAGCAGTTCTTAAGCTGCTTCTGGGCCCAGTTCTCCCATTCTGGGCTGTTTAAGGTTTAAAGACACCCCGTAGGGATGCCCAAGTTCTGAAACCCAGGAGGCCTTCCTCCTTAGTTAACATTTTAACTGTCCCTGCTGTTAGAGGAGAGGGATGGGGCTTAGACGGTGAGGAGGAGCTCTGTTTTGCATACCCTTGTTCCCAGTCCCTACACTTCAGTTGTCAGCGCCACTCCATCTTTTTTCCCCAAGCACACCTTTCTGTGAATCTCATCAAATGGGTGGGAAATCCCTTAGGACAGACTATTTCTTCAGACACTTGTAGTTAGCCCTTTTGCTGTTTTATTTCTCAGTCGGCGTGCTGAGAAAGTGTTACCTCAACTTTCTCTGGTGCTTACATGGATGGAAGAAATTCTGTCCACCTTTTTGGGATGTCCGGGAGTTTTGCTCATGTTTATAAATTGAATGCTGGATAGTTTGGTTTTGTTGTTGTTTTGTTTGTTTGTTTTTTGCGGGGGCGGGACTCTTTTAGTACAAAATGACCTTGAATTTCTAATTCTCCTATCTTTACCTCTGGGATTACAACTTGTCTGTCGCTACATCCATTTAGGCAGCACTTTTACCAACTGACCCACAGCCCTAGTGTTTTTAAAGGGTTATGTGTTAATATAACCCAGTGACCTGAAAAGAAATGTCTGTTTCCCCCCATGTTTAGCCTTGAAGTCCACAAAGAAAAACATCTATAGGAATTAGGCAAGTGCCATAATATGGGTTAAGGAAGGGCTCACTTGCCTCTTGTTGGCTGGAATGTAGGTTTAAATCTTTTCTTTACCGCATAGTTACATCTCAAAATTTATTTTAAGCCTTCATAGGGCCTTTCCAAAGTCATTTTTGAAAATGCTATCAGATTTGAATTTATAGCCTGGGTTTTAAAGCTCACTGTCATTATTGCCTTAAAGTGAATCAAAGTGGTCAAAACAATTCCTAAGATCTCTGTAAATTATGAAAGAAAATTGGAGAGATGAGCAATATCTATCTTATTTAGCATAAAGTTTACTTGGAGATTCAATTACATGAGATTCCTTTTTTTGTTTTGTTTTGTTTTGTTTTTTGAGATAGGGTTTCTTTGTGTTGCTTTGGAGCCCATCCTGGAACTAGCTCTGTAGACCAGGCTGGCCTTAAAGTCACAAAAATCCGTCTGCCTCCTGAGCACTGGGATTAAAGGCATATGCCACCACCACCACCCGGTGCTCTTATGGTTTTTATGGGGGAAGAAAAGAGTCCCTAAAGAATAAGTTTATATTTTTCTGCTGTGAGGGTGCCATGAGTTGTTAAAAGATCAAGTCTACTTGGAAATAGCACAGGTAGTTGGAATTTGGCTTTTGTTCCCTGCCCGACCTTATGAGAAAAGGATGACTTCACGTGAGACTGCAAAGGGCTGACTAATGGTACTGCTGATAAAAATTTAATACGTGTAATTTCTATATTTGGAGAACTGAACTTATCCAGGGTGCTTTTAAAAAATCAGAACAAACTCTTACCTGATTGACATGGAATATCACCATGTTGGAAAGTCAGGTGCTCTAAAGTTGAAGAAGTAGTCTTTGAGAGGCTTGGTTTGTCACATACAGTGTGATAGTTCTTGATAGTTTCCAGTTGGGATTGTTATCCAAGTTCACATTTATGCTTGACATTTTTCTCAGATGTGGAAGATGAGTGCATTCATCAACTCCGGAGGATTGGAGACAAACAGAACTTTCGGCAGAAACTTCTAAATTTTATTACCAAGCTCTTCAGTTTAGTAACCTGAGTTCTTCAAAAAGCTTCTTCAAGAAGGGACTCGTAGAAAGCAAGTTCCCCAGTTGCTACAAATGTCTGTTATAGGATGGACTGTGGTGTGATGGAGAGAGATGAGGAGAAATACTTTCTTTTGGTTTCCTGAGCATGGATGATGAATAAGATGGAAACAAATTTCTTCGGGAAAGTTTTCAGAAATCGCTCTTTGAGATGTGATAACATGAAACCACATGTATTTTAAAACGAGGCTTACAGGAGTCACAGAAATAGGGAAGTGATTAGTAATACATCTGTCTTTTGAGAGTTGGAGTGGCGTTTCTGCAAAAGGTTGTTGTCAGAAGTCATGCAGAGGAGCATGGCAAATCATTACATGAATGGGGATAGTTGCTCAGTATGACTTTCCTCTGTTTGACAGCAACTCCAGAATATTGTGTTCTATTAAGTTCCATCCATAATCTTCTAAGAGAAAACATTTCATTTTTGTTAACATAGAGTGTTATAGTGAATATTGAGTTAATAGGTCACTACAAACATTGTGTCTTGTTTAGGTGACTTTTTTTTTTAAGTTGTTGAGTTCCTCTGTATAACAATCCTGGCTGTCCTGGAACTCTTGTAGATCAGTATAGCCTCTAACTCACAGAGAACTCCATGCCTCTGTGCTGGAATTAAAGGCATTCACCACAGCGTCCAGCTGTTTAGATGACTTTTAAGTGTGTTTTTGTAACCATTAACTGGATAGTATGGAAAACTACCAAGAACTGAAAAAAAAATCAGAAGTATAGCAAGGTTATTTAGTGGCAGTAAAATTTTTGCAGATTGAATATTATGTGATAAAGAGTTGGGCTCTTATGTAACCTGAGACAAAAACAGGAAAATTTTAAAAGTTGATATAATTAAAACTTAGTAAAAGACTCATTAAGAAGCTGCTAAAATTTTTAGCCTGCCACGAGTATTTCCTAGAGCTGTTTTTTTTTTTTTTTTTTTTTTTTTTTTTTTTTTTTTTTTTGGAGTGTTTCTCTGTAGCCTAGCTGTCTTGGAAACTCACCCTGTAGACCAAGCTAGCCTTAAACTCAGAGATACACCCTTTCCCCCACCTCCTGAGCTACTACCACCCTAGCTTTAAGAGTTTCATTTTTAATCTGGGCTATAAATGTGAAATTCAAAATAGTCAATAGCAAATCAATCCTGGTTAACAAAGGCAAGAGATTTGAATAGACATTCCCTAAAAGGCACATAGATGGTCAACAGATAAATGATTCAGAAATGTAAATGAAAATGACCATGAGATGATCTTATACTCTAGATTGACTGTTACCAAAAGTGAAAGATAGCAAGCATGGTAAAGGCTCAAGAAGAGAAGGAATATCTGTATATCTTCATTAGTATTGTAAGGTAGGACACCTATTTTGTAAAACAGCATTCCTTTAAAACTAAGAAATGAACCACCCTAAACCTAGCTGTCCCACCACAGAGTGTATATGCAAAGGTGTTGAATTATTTGTATTAGCTAAAGCTAGGAAACTATCAAAGGCTGAAAGGGATTTGTTTTTGTTTTTTTTGTTTTTCGAGACAGGGTTTCTCTGAATTGCTTTGGAGCCTATCCTGGCACTCGCTCTGGAGACCAGGCAAATCTCACAGAGATCCACCTGCCTCTGCCTCCTGAGCTGAAAGGGTTTTAAAAGTGGGAATATAAACAAAATTGAGCCTTAGAAAGCAGGAAATGTTACTTGTCAAACTGGACGATAGATAACCCAGGTCCCTCTGAAGACAATACTCCACTGTCTTTTTTTTTGACAAAAGCCCAAGTCAACAAATAGGAATAAGATGGCTGGGGGTGGGATGGAGAATGAGAAAATGGCCGCCCCAACCTTAGAGGGCAAAACTAGGAGTTCTGATGTTCTTGTCTACAGCAAGTCAGGGAGGTTGCCTGTTCTGACCACAAGGAAGTGATGTCAACCAGAAGTGATTCTGTGATAATGCTAGTAACTGTTTGATCTTTCCCCACAGTGTCCATGTTTTGGAACTCAACCCTGTAAACACATTTAATTTGTCTGTTAACTAAAACTAAAAATTTTCCAAAAAGGGAAATAATCTCATGATTGAGTTTTACCAGGAATGCTATTTATTTTACTTATTTATGATTGAAATATTTTTTGTTTCGTTTGAACATGTGTATCAGTTTCATTTTTGTTATGACTGTGAAGGGTGTCATATAGCAAGTCACTTTGAAAGAACTTACCTCAGTAGTTAGTGGGCCTCGGCATTAAAGCTGTTTACTTTGAAGGTTTTTTTTCCCCTTGGCCCAAAGGTAGACATTTTACCAAATGGGTATTTATAGTCTGTGTCTATATTTATATGTATGTTTCTGAAGACTGATACTGTAGTCTGAACTATTAAATAAAGTTGGATACTGTAGCAGCTATTGAAAACTTACCAGTCTTCCTGTGTGTTTTCTGTAAATTAGGAAGTTTATTATCAAGCTGTTTTAACACATGGATAGACATCTGGTGTGGTGTATGTATGTGGGTTTGAGTGCATGTTTGTGTGGGAAGTGTGTTATCAGAGGTCAATAGTTAATCCACCTTTTAAAAAACATTATTGGGTGTGTGGGGGTATGTACTTGTTATGGTGCTTGTGTTGACACCAGAATGCAACTTGTAAAAAGTTACTTTTACCTCTGTGTGTGTGTGTGTGTGTGTGTGTTGCTTAATGTGTGGAGGTCAAAAGACAATCTGGGCATCAGTCCTTTTCCTTCTACTTTGTGGATCCTAGAGATAATGGAGCTCGATGTT